CCGGGCCGTGGCGCTGCTCTCAGCAGCCGACTTTGGGGCTGGCGCTGCCGAGGCTAGCGGCGGAATGTTCGAATCCTGGCAGTGCTGGGCCTGCGCCCCAGGAGCTGCCAAGCTGAGGTGGCAGTGGGTGTCACCCTGAGCAGGATTGCGCAACCCGCAAATGCCGGGAGAAATTAAACCAGCTAATTTCCTCCGAAACAGCGCCCCCTCTAGGCGCCTGGTCTGAGGACGGGTTCTGCTGCGAGTCAACCCCGGAGGGCAAATCCGATCCAGAAAGAATTTTATTGAGTAAATGGAGGAATCTGTGTAGAAAGGCAAAAAGGGCACAAAAAAAAGCGAGTAGACGTCATTGAACCCACTTTTAGGAAGGGTACAACTGAGTCAGAATGAGTTGCTAGTGCAGGCCACATCTGGCAGAGCACTAACTACAACTAACTGCAATCCACCTTATGGCTTTTTACTCCATACTGAACGAGGAGGGTGAGTGTGTGACCCAGGAAGACCTACCTGTTTCACGGAAAACCGAGCAAATGGAACTTGTTGATTACGTAACTTCCTCCATGTGAACCAACTCTCTGCGTAACCAAACAAAATCATTCAATTAAGATAATTTTAGGCCAGGTTTTCTTTTTTTTTTTTCTATTTTATCAATCTCTCTTAAAGCTAAATCTAAATTTGAATCATAGTCGCATTCTTGGAATTAAAGTGTAAGAAAGATGAGAGGCTTGCTGCAGACTTTGCTCCCAGTTCCCCTTCCCTGGTTCTGTGGCTGTGGAATCCTGTTCCAATGTCTATTCCTGGATAATTATGTCTTACTAACCTAACTTTTGCCAATCCTAATATACTAGTTGTTGGAAAGACAAGGAAAATATAAGCCATCGTGAGGGGATAAATTTGAAATTAAGCCATTCATTCCTATTTTTTATTTTAGCAATTCCTTAGCACATTAATGATCAATCAGTGGGAATTAACCTGGACTAGATTTCAAAATTCAAGTCGTTGTAGTGTTGAGCCCCAACTAGAAAAAAAAAAATAGAATTCCATCTTCTGGTTGGCATATGCTACGGTTGACCATGGGCAAACTAGTTAACCTCTCTGAATATGGATGAACTTCTCTAAGACACTCACTGGCCATTCTGAGGTGGCGAGCAGATAAACTCGGGCTGAATTACAGTGAGATCCCCAGCCCCAACAACCTCTGAGCAGACTTGACTCTCATAGCCACTGCTATGATCATAGCCTGCAGATCCCACCTTTGCCAAGCTCCACCTCATCAGCGTTTCAGCCTTGCATTCTCCCAAAGTGTCTCTGGAAAAGTCCAGAAACATCCCAGGACTAGCTGGACAGAGAAGAGTGAGGAGCCTCCTCCAGATTCAGGCAGTTTACTACCATAGATTTGTATCTGCCTGCACTGGCACAAGAGAGCTCCAGCGTCCGGGTCACACGCTCCAGCGTCCGGGTCCTGTCTATTCAGGTCACTACCATCCCCCTGGGGGACAGCCCAGTGAGGGGCTGCCACATGTTAAACTGCTCATAGAACACAAACTTGCCCATATGGTCAGAGAGAGAGCCTCAGGTGATGTGACAAGATCTGGTACAGGGGTGTTAACCTAGAGTTAGGTGACAGCAAAAGCAGAAGAAAAAGTAGGAGTTATAGCTAGGCCAAACAGTGGGTGAAGGATGCATCTGAAAACAGAATGGGACAAGCAAAGGCCTGGAAGACCAAAGGCTTTTGTGACATACACAAAATTGTTATGTTTTGCTAAAACCTGAAGAGTGAAGGAGTGGGTAGGTATTAATGAGTCTTAAAAAGTGATCACAATGGAGGGCTCTCCCTGGTGGTGCAACTCGTTAAAGCAACACATTATGAAGCTCTCTGAAGCCACTGCAGCATGAGTTCTATCCGCAGCCAGAGAGCTGACCCATATGGCATGGCCCGCTGCTCCCCTCAGCAGTGTATTTCAGTACATCTGCTGTTCTGCTCCCCACTGTCTCTGGTGAATCCTCTCACCCACCACGCTGCTGCCCTGTAAACATAGATAAATAAATCTTTTTTTTAAAAAAATGTTGTAATGGGCCTGAGGAAAGCATTTTGGGGTGATGAATACGTTGTCTATCTTGGAGACAGCGATGGTTACATAACTGGTACAACTGGTACAATTCATCAAATGATACACTCTTGAAAAGGGTGAATTTTATTTGTGAGCAAATTATACTTCAGTCAATCTGACTCAAAAAAAGGACATAGTAAGTTTTAGTTGTGTATTTAAAACAATGCATTCATATTAAGAAAAAACTAAATATACTAAATATATAAGAGTTATCAACTAGTATGGTCCATTAACTCATGCTTTGCTTTGCTTTCTGTTACTAAACTGCAAATTTTATTCTAAAAGAGTAGGCAGAAAGATGAGAATAAATTATATCTTACAGTGTATAAAGAGGTTTTGCTTTATCAACAACTATGAAAAGGATGATAAATGACAAACAGAATAAAATGTCATGTGAAAAGTAAGTCTTCATGACAGCATATAATATTTTTAGGTCTTATTACATGTCAAGCACTGTTCAACATGCCCTACACATATGGGAAATTATTAAACCCTCAGCACATCCAATAAGGGAGGTACAGTTATTATCTCTGTTTTAGCGATGAGGAAGCATGGACAGGCTGAGTCACCTGTGCAGTGCTGTGGGTCTGGTTAGGAGGAAACTTTATAGTCTCTGACCACAACCGCTGGGTTCTGTGCTGTATCCATTTGGGGAGAGGAGTAGGGGCACCTACCTTCAGATGTGGCAATTCAGGAAAGGGGTTGTGATCAGTGATAGTCATGACTGTTCCTATAGCACTCTCTTGGGTGAATGTGAAGCTCAGCTAGCTCGGGGGCCCCTGGATCGGTAGCCTATTGCATAGTCACCTCATTGGGTAGGAGAGGATGTTTTCACATGTTGCTGTTTTCACATGTTGAATTCAAGTAGCCTGAAGGAAGTCCAGAGAGATATATTGCTTCTGTGGGTCTGAAGATATAGGGTGGAAGCCAGTGTGGATAACTAAGCATAGAAACCGAGGCTCAAACCTTAAAGATAGAAGTGATCATACAGTATCTTGAGCTGGGAACTGCAATGGGTATGGGATAGCCAATGCATGAGTAGTGGACAGAGAAAAGAAGATTTGCAAAAACTGCAGAAATCAGCTTCTGCTGCATAGAAATCACCCCAAAATTTACTGGCTTAAAATAAATAGATTAATTCTTAGAATTCTGTGACCTAACTAATCCTGGCTGGCCCTCTAGTGGGTCATGGGTGGGTGGGGGCTCCCTTCTAGTCTGGGCTTAACTGAGGTATCTTAGTAGCTCTTCTCCACTTGCCTCCTCCAGTCTCCTGGTTGTAGTGAGCCAGAGGGGCATTTACTTCTGGCAATGGATGAAGCAAAAGAAAACAAGCAGAAATACACAAGTTCTCACTATGCCTTCGAATTGTGTCACTTCACCTTGATCTAATGCCAAAGCATGTTACATGGACAAGCCAGATTCACAGGGGTGAAGAAATGACAGCAATGATGCAATTTACTTGTGTGTCCAAGAAAGAGAGATGGAAAGGTAATAAAGACAGGGTAGATTTGTACAGGAGATAGAGTTTCAACAAACAGAGAACAGTAAGCCCTACAAGATACCTTCTGGAAAATCCAACAAATGAAAACTGGAGTATATATTAAATGTGGCAATGTAGGAGTCATCAGATACTTTGAGTAACAGTTTTGGAGGAGAGAATGAAATCACCAAACTTGAGGACTGAGAAAAGAATGGGAAGGGAGAGAGTAGATGCAAGGTTCATAGTTTCATCCAACAGATAAATCCAACTCATGACCTACTATGTGCTAGCCATTATTCTAGATGCTGGGGAATAACCATGAATGATGTAAAATTTCCCTCCATGAAGCTCAGATTCTAGTGAGAAGAACAGAGATAGGTAAGATAGTGGGTTAGCCAACCAATAAA